ATCAGCGTTTAAGGATGGAGGCTCAGCGTTAGTCTTGGAGTTGACAAAACTCGTGGGTTCAATATGGGAAAGGGAAGAGGTTCCAGCTGAATGGTGTGAGTCGGTGATCATACCGAGTGTTTTCCCCGGGAACTGAGGGTGCTACGTGGTGAAACCAAAGATAGCCAGCGAATGTCTACAAATAGCGCAATAAAACGATTGAACCCCATTCTTATTGATGGGTTCTTATGCCACTTCGTTTTCAGTGTCGATATAGCACTCTCCCAAGTAGATTTTATCCACCTAAATTGATCCCTCATGCTTAACTAGTAACTTGTATCTCATAACTTATTTTTTGCATAAAAACAGAGAACAACCAAAACAAAACAACAAACTTTTTTTTCTCATTCATTCGTGGTATTTGTGTTCGCTGTTACCGATCAGCTCCAACAAGAGCTGATTCGAAGTTCTTTTTTTCTGTTCCAGAAACACAACCCGAGGAGAAGGGAACACAAACCGATCACATGGAGAACATAATCAACAGGAGAACTTCAACTGCCCCCCCTCACCACTAACTAACCTACCGATCCAGCATTTTGAGGGTATCGAAGACCTTTTTCTGACAGCCCCGGTTAGTTTTTACTGGCTCGTACCCAGCTGTGACGGACCCATTTTCAACACATCCGTTATTTTGTTTAAAAAACGGGGCAAGTAGCGAAACCTCGACGGACTACAGACATCTATCTGTTCCAATATCTGCGCATCAGCAGGACTACTAGATATTTGCTTCACCTACTCGTATTTAAAAGACAATAAGACCACCCACACGCACATTTATCGAAGGCTCTTCTTAGCCTTCTAGGGAGGGAGCTCTGTAGTGACAGTGTCAACCCTTTCTGTTCATGTACCTTTTCCATCTTCCGGACCTTGTTGTTTTACCGGACCAAGATTACCTCGTTGATCACGGTACGTTGACTTTCACTTTTGGTACACTTACTTAACTGTAAGCTTCTCTCTCTATTCTCCAGCTCATTACAATACAACCGTCGTTTAGGTTTCGTGATATCAGTCGTTCTGCTTTGGTTCGTTACCTCGTCCGTTGTTAGACGTACGAATTCGTGGACATCATTAGCCCAGAGACTAAATACCTCGCCGTCCGACATTTTCATCACCTCCAAGGTCGTCAATTCATCATCATGACTGACCACAAACCACTGGTGTTTGTTTTTCGTGCACGTTGTGGTCGCTACTCTCCGCGTGAAATTCGTCACTTGGATTTCATCTCTCAATTTTCCACCGATATCCGACACATCAACGGATCGGACAACACCGTCGCAGACGCTCTCTCAGCTCAACATCAACAGTATGGTTACACCATCGGATATCAGCTTTCAGATTATTTCTCAACATCAATCCAGTGACCCTCATTTTTGGGCGGTGGTAACGTCACCAATTATCACCCCGGAGGACGAGTGTTCGAATCCCACCACCACCGCCTGACTTTCCCCATTTGTGTGTTGTATGGCAGCCCTCTGATTGGCCGCTTCCCCCTTCTTGAAAATTGTATCTTTGTATATTCAATAAAAAGAAGTAAAATGAAAAAAGGAGACCTGCTCAAATCCACCTACGTAGCACGCAAGTTCCTAATCCACATACTGTATCCACCATCTTCTGTGATACTTTTTCTGGACACCCTCGACCCATTTTACCGTCAGCCAATTTTTACGCGTTTTCATTTATTTTCGCACCCATGTTCGTTCTACGTTACGTCTAATTGTCGATTGTTACATTTGTCCCAGCGTGAACAAAGACGTCCGACATTGGGCAAAATCTTGTTTACAGTGCCAACGAAATAAGATTTACTGCCACACTGTTTCTGCCCCGGGTCATTTCCCCTTCCGAGGCATTCGTTTTTCTCATGTGCACATAGACCTTGTCGACCCACTTCCCAGTTCAAATGGTAAGACATATCTGTTAACATGTGTCGACCGTTGCACACGTTTGCCGGTGGCCGCTCCCCTGGCAGACATTTCCTCTTAGTCCGTCGCACAACATTTCTTGTCATACTGAATTTCCCATTACGGTGTTCCCCACACTGTAACCACTGACGGAGGCAGTCAATTCCAACCGGCGCTTTTTCGTGATTTCAAGCGGCTGCTTGGTTGCGATCACATTCGCACCACTGCTTACCATCCCGCAGCAAACGGCTTGGTTGAACGTTTTCACCGACAACTCAAAGCCTCACTTCGCGCNCTTCGCGCTCACGAAGATCCTTACTGGACCGGACGTCTTCCACTCACCCTACTGAGCATTCGCTCTGTCATCAAAGAAGACCTCGGATGTACGGCGGTAGGTTTGGTTTACGGCACTAATCAAGCACTACGCAAGAATACTTCTCACTTGGCAACTGATCACATCGTTTTTGATTTTATGCACTCAATGCATTTCGCTCTAGCGGGTTTGATGGGCAAACTGAAGTATGACTTGACAAAGGATGATGACCCGCAACTGATCGGTAAACGCTATCTGTAGTTACTAATTATCCTACCGTTCCCAAGCCTACTGAGTGGGCCGTCCCATCGTCCCTCCTCGAAATAGCTTCGGGAATTAATCTAGAACTTCATAGGATAGGCTGGTGTGTTACGATGAATAGGGCGTCCAGTTGTGACTCAACATATTTTTGGAGAAACGCAACAGAAACCAAATACCGACGGAACTGGATGCTCGCCAAAAAGGGCGAGTGCTATTTAAAAGGAACGTCATAAGACAGCGATAAAATTAACGTTTGTAATATATTTGTAGTAAATGAAGGATTAGCGTTCCTATGGATACTACATCATTCGGCAACCAGCTCTAGAATTTGTGGAAAACGTGCAATTTAGGAGAATTGCAGGTGAAGAAAGACATTCTTAGATCAGCTCGAAAAATGACAAAGGTGTTTGGAGGGTTACCAAATTAGTCCAATTATCAACATTTCATTAATTTTAAGCCGTTTCCTCTGGTGGTTGCTTTTGCGCAAACAGCAGAACAATTCCTTTCCTGATTTACGTATGTTTAGCTGGGGTCAAATGACTTCGAACGCCTTCGATACCTACCAAAAACGAAAGTTTCGACGGACTCGAAGCAAGTCGTAGTAGCACGCAGCTTGAGTACAATTATCACATCAAGTCGGATGTAAACTCAATTCAGAAACTTGAAATCTGAAATTGGAATATTAGTTCGAAATTTCATCACAGACAATTTATGTGAAAGATCTTTCTTGGAATATTCGAATGAGTGATCAGATAGTCCATTTATGAGCAAAAAAGTATGAAGGTGTAGGTATGTCCTTTGGACACAGAGCATAAGAACACGATTAGACCTGAAAACGGTGTGACAAGAACAGTGAGGATGACCGAACTTTGCTTTGGGCAAAGGCGGGAGCACAAAATCACAGCAGATGATGGTGGAAGTGTACACGTTTGGGTTTGTGAAATCCGAACAAGTAGTTTTAGTTGCGAGGACGGGGGGAGAGGGTAAGGCATGAGAGAAGATTGCAAGAGTGCGGTTTATGAAAAGAAACTAAAACAGATAAAGTAGATGGAAAACGAAGGACCTTGGAAACGATGAGGGGCGCGGGCAGGCGTAACGCGGAGAAGAAAAGGCGACGTATGCTGCTATTGATGCTTCACTATCATGACCGTTAACACATAGACCGTAATCAGAAATCGGCCTCCTCATCGTAAAAATCGAGGAAATTGACGAAAGTCACCCGGGTCACATTTCCATTCGGCGTAAAACTGTATTTGTAATACGATCCATCGGCAGCAAGCACTGTGAAAAAGCAAGGAGAATTTAACTGAGTAGCAAGACGATAGCTATGAATGCATTGCACAACCGCTATTTCTAACACAAACTTCAATGGTGCTTGCACGTGTGTGTACCTGCTAGAATCATTACACTACACGGACAATAAAAGATACAGACGCACAAAAGTTGTATGCCCCCTGTTTCCGATGCCTTATGATTGGGGACGCGTTTGTGTAAGGTTAAATAGACCAACGTGACAGGCAAACAGGACGGCTGTTCATGAAACCGCACACCCTGGTTGAGGGTGGAAATGTAAAATTGAGAGTGGATGAGACGAAGGTTACTCAAATATTAAACAAGACGGAGTAATTACATTCACAGAAAGCCCGTCTGTGCCGCAGATCACAGATTTGGTGGAGGCAGCCTTGACCAGGTCTAAATGCAGTTTGGTTTCCATACAGACTGCTTGGATGCGATGAAAAACACTATATGAGAGCATATTGCGTTTCTTATGAATACGTTAATTTCCTCATTTGTTTTCACAAAGGATCTTCTATCTTTCATTCTTAATCCTAACAGTAACAAAATTGAAGAAACCTATTCCAACACAAAGCAACAACTGCAGTTTGATTTCGAACAAAAAATTACTGTGCAATTCAGTGCGGTCATTTGGTCTTACTCATCGATTGTCTATCTAAATGTTCGACTAAAGTTTACAAGATATATGTTAAATCCACGTGCAATGTGCCTCTTAAACGTGATTCGCAGTCTGACTATACACCCACTTCAAATGTGGTAGAGTTGTCTGCGTATATCATTCCGCGTAAAATGGGTTCTCGAAAGATGCAAAATTACATGAGAGTAGTGGAGAATTTGATTCCACTTTACAGGGGATTTCCTCATGTACAGAGCAAATGGGGCGTGAACTGAAAAGATAGGAAGCATTGGACAGTTGTTTCTATCTGGTTGGGTCTCATTAGCCGTGTGAACTCCTCCCCTCAACTTGGGATCGAACCCGGGATCTCACAGGCAGAATGCAAGCACACTGTGCTACAGAACACTGGGCCATTGGAATGTTAACAATAAAGTCAAGGGAAAAATAGATGCCCATGGACTCGGGGTGCAAGAATATGGAGTAGAGGCAAGAGTGCCACTGTTTATGACACTCGGTCATACCACAGTGTTTCTAGCCATTAAACATAATGATATCAACGTTCAATTCAGTTCAGTTTGTACAACCATTAACCACGCATATTCGTGTGCCGGTTTTGGTTGCCCATTTGAATGAAGAATGGGAGAAGAAGGGAAAGTCGAAAGTGGAGTCGAACAGAAAATGTAGAAGTTCAGTGGTCTAAGGTTGCAAAGAAATTGAGAAGATGAACGAACGCCACTGTTTACGACATCCAAACATATCACTCAGTTCTCTAACCATCGGGTACGACAATCCCGAGGTCTCCATTCAGGGAGCCTAACTGAACCTATGTTACCCAATCTCCTGGTTAGGGTTTTCATACCCTCATGCCAGGTCTTAGCTTGACTACCCTTGGCTTTTTTCCACTCGGTGTCTGCTTCGGCGAGCATCATAGGTATTATTTTATCTTTTGAAAACCATTGCCCACTTCCATTTCTAGGTCGAGGATACATAGGTCCATTCTATATTATCTGTCACAGTGTGCAACAATTTTCTTTCTCGTTTAGTAGGGCACCACGTGGTTAGTGGACACTTGAATGAATCTTATTATTTGACGTGAATATTTAAGCTGTTTCGGTACGTTACAAAATACGGACGTGCACGGCTATCATATTCACAGGAAGCGCTTTCTGTTTGTGGGTTGCACTGGATTCCGGTAAACGTCATTATTGTCTAAATTAATTACGCCAGAACATGATTGACACGACTCTTTGAGAATCCAATTCCCTATTGTTTTGGCGAATCCCGGGCACAGAACCGATTTTGTTGCTCATCTGAAATGCGGTGAAATTGCAAGTCCTAGCACAAGCTAAGTTGATGACCGAAATGCACAGGAGAGAAACGATCAATGACCTACCTATCTTACTGAACCGTCTAGATTTTTTCGTTCAAAAACGTGCTGTCAGAACAAGCTAGATTTCCATCACAAAACAAAATGACACGATCACTCAGGTTTGGAATCAATACGATATCGAAACGAATTGTCAGGAAACCTACGAATTGCCAGGAGACTGGCAGCTTTCCTAAAATTAATTTTCTCACGTGTTTAAGAGGCAGTGAAGGTAGAATTCATATTTGGATCCACCTCTGGCAGGTTTACATAGAACAGCCAGGAAACAAATAGACACATCGAATGGAAAGCCTACTTCAAATCTACGTGGTAATAATTGGTTGGGCGAATTTACCTAGGTACATCCACCGGAAATGTGATTTGTAACAATTTAGTAAATCCCTCTTTCTCGGAAAGCTGATCGACGGGCAGTAAGCATAACACTCGCATGTCGATCACTATTAGTGGCGCTCTGCACGTTTACGCGTAAGTTTTGGTTACTATCTTTCTGCTTTTTATTTGATCGACCAATAAGGGATGGAAAAAAGCTAAGAGCCATGAAATGATAAATAAGCGGGGTGCGAATGGACCAGACATGCTCAGAGAGCAAGAAAAATTGCAAATCCTACTGCCGACAACACTTAGTCAATTCCTCACTGATTCTAAGGTTCAAAACAAAAAAGTCACTTTAGTCGCTATACCGGAGCTTATTTCGACTACTACAAACACACGAAAATCTAAAACATGATACATTCGTGGTTTCTCATTCAGAATAGTTAACGGAAATAGGTAAATTATACTGACGAATCAAATGATGATCTCACCAAACATGTCCACCGTGAGTTGACTTGACAGCTCATGATGGGAAATTTTAAACCAGCATAACAGAACAAAGACCAGCAGGAAATAACTTACCAATGAGGGTATTCGGATTCATGAGACTGAAAGCACANCATGAGACTGAAAGCACAAATGGCTTTGAACTTGGTTTCAAGGACACACCGGATTTGGCTCACGTTTGTGAAGAAGCTAAAGACATCTGGATTGCTGAAAGAAACAAAAACAAAATCTCATTTAGCTCTGGCTACTTTTGTCCCGAATGAGATGAACTCGAAAATAACTCTTCGCATGTGTCCGAATTCGGTGGTGCTCGTTTTCGTGTCAGGTGCTTCTTCACATCTTCACACTTGCTTACGCTATTGAATACTGTAGTTAGGTTTGGGATGGTACCTCGCTCACTTTCCGGTCTCTCGTTTTTATACTACAGACAATATGAACAATAGTCAAAGAGCATATTGTAGACGGGAACCATTCACGTAACATCCAGTTTGTTGATTCTGCGTTTACAGCATAAGGTTGTAAGTTGGGGGAGAAGATGAGGGTTTTCCTCAACTTGGCAGTTCTGTGAAAAACAGAGCAGAGAAATATGACATCTGCTGACCGAAATCTGATGAGGATGACTAGATGTCCGTGTATCGGATGGGCGGTTAAGTTCCAGGAAGAGGCACTGTCAAGGCAAGGTCCAAAGAACAAAAACCAAAAGTACCAGCGATAGAGAAGGGACAGTAAAGCAACTGTTCGACGATAGGCTACTGAGTGAACATTGGAGGTTAGGGATCATCCATCAGCCGGATGGCCCTTCACGGAACACAGTCAAGTAGGGAAAGAGAAGAAACCCCACCCCGCACGAGATGGCAGTATTCATTTGACGTATGGCTATCTTTAACGTCCTCTCTGTTTCACACTTTCCGGTTCGTTATTCATCTGGATGATGTCTGCGTGACAGATGTCATTTTACATAAACGTCAGATACGTAAAGAAATACTAAAAATCATTCTGGATATTTGTGTATGCGTGTTCCAACCGTGATCATCCTAGAGAAGTTTGTTGATGAACCGTCAATGACCTTAACAGAATACATTCCGTTTAACTTACGGTGTTGGCTGCCATGTGACTACTGAACTCCTGAGCGGTCTGTGTGATTAGTTCGCTAGAACAATGCGAACTTGGTGGGTGTGATAATGCAAGCAACGGTATACAAAAGCCACCGTGCTCAAGGGCTAACCATTATGTTTGTTGTTTAACTATGAATGAGCTTGTCCTATGAAAGAAGCTAATGCGAAACAAATCATTGCTGAAGCAATCCTCCTGGACCTGATCACACATTACTTTTCGCCAAGCTGTCCATATGCTTCGGTGGGTGTTCAAAATGCACGACACAACGATCGTTAAGTTGTGATAAGCTGTCTGAACCAGCTCGTCCGTCTTTCAGAACGCGCTAGCTGAAAGCTAGAATTAACCGCACCTGACTACATCAATCAGCACTAGTCACTTGTGAAGAATGTCCGCCATTCTGCTAACTTATTCAGTTGTGGTCTGACACATCGTGCCGCGACACCCTGGATTTCTGCGGAGTCC